TTTGTTATATTCTTGCGAGAGTCATTTTTTTGACTTTCCAAGCTTGTAGTTTAATTTGATTCCTTGGTCCATTTTCCTATGTGTAGGGTACTAAGTTCAAACTGAGTTTCATTTGAAAATGTTGACAAGTTCGGAAAGTAAGAACAGGGAGTGATATCAGAGATACGATGGAAAAGAGATGCATAGGAATAGTTTTATTGCAACTTACGAGGCATCCAGAACAGGCTACAGTGAACAATGATTGCGACAGTGGAGGCACAATTCGAATAGCATGACAACGACTGCCTTCAGATCATTTTGTAATCGACCCTTAACTATACAGATGATATTAGCTATGATGAAAGCCCATAGTCACTGCATAGATTCGGTCCCTTGTTCTAATGCATTGCAAAAGGAGTCTTCTATCATATAAAGCATGCATGGATGCCAATCAGAAATCCTATTTCCACCGTGGCAGTGGCTGACGAATTAAAAATTCGATCAAATACTAACGAAAAATGCAAAGACCTTTACGTATTCGTACAATCTCAACTGAATCTGATTATATGTACGAGAAGTCAGCAAAAGTACAGTAATGTAAAAAGATTTGTATTTGTCAATATGAATAATCAGCGTTTCTTTTAAGTAAACATTTTCTATTTGTATTCTGAACAGATCTGTAATAGAACTCGCCTCACTATGAATCAAGCATTCAATGAATAAAAATTTTCGACCATTCTTCAGACAGAGAGAGATGAAGAAAATGTTATCTTGCTATAAAAGGTGCTTTCGACTGTTGTCCCATTTAATATCTTTAAAATTCGAAAAAAAAATGCATCCCGTTTTGTACCCTTGTTGACACTTGTTGTATCCCATGTGTGGCTTTAAGAGATGGAACTTTTACAATGTGGCCGAATTATACACTATGGGCTACATAACGATTATGGTAAAGAAGATATCTTTCATTTTATAAAACTCATTATGAAAATAGTGCATGTATGTTTCTATGTGAACATTTTTCTGCTTCCTTCCTTACAAACACATTCCTTCTTACAGACAAGGTGTTTTTTATTTCTGGCAGAAAGTGAAAAAAAACCAAAGATTTCTGTAGATCTTGCCGTCGAGTACAGTACGTTTCCTTACCTGTGGCTGAGATACTTTATTGTTGCTTTTTGTATTTGTGATTTAAGTTCTAGTACACGATATTGTGCTCTGCAGCTAATTTTTGTAAGGAACGAGCCATCAGATTTGTTCGACAAAAACTTCAAGAATATCGTTCGAAAAGTCCGATTTGATTCTAAGATTTCTCACTAGTTTCACTTTCTCTAACTGATTGAGGAATAGTAAGCAAAAAATTTAATGTAGGACGTTCATCTTCATTTGAAGGAACATGAAAAGGCTAACATAAAGCCACTTCTAGAGCATTAGGTGCTTTCCAGAACATCAACAGTTTTAATGATTACAGCTGTACATCGGCTCTGTAAATGTTGCAATAGACAGAGAGATGAGTAAAGGGTAACATTTCAGTACGTCTAAGATGGTATGATAAGAAATACTGAAAGTAAATATCGTTGAGCGACAATGCTCGAACATAGGTATGAA